GTGTGTGGATGAACACAGTGGAGCCATTGTGAATGCACTTCACAACAAATATATTTGTTGCAAAAATCTTATCTCCTGGTTGCATGTGTTTTGACCTAAAGATTGGAACATTCGTGATAGATGCTTATGTACTGTGGCAAAATATGCTTACAATTTGGTGTAAAATTATGATTTTAAGTGTGTTCTTGTAGCAGTTATAAAATACTGCCTATTAATTAAGATCTAGGAAGAATGATTCCTGCTTCTACTTGTACAGAGACCATAAAATTCATAATTATGTAAGTCAATTGTCTTTGCGTACACATGCATTGCTGGTAAAGACATGATTACCTAAAAGTGGTGAAATATACCAGCATTCAACTTTCAACATATGTAAAATTATAGCTTTGTTAACCTGTCTTAAGTAGGATTTGAGGTTTTCGTGGCAGTGAGTGTGAAGAGGGTTGTCATCCGGATTGTTGCGCCATGTAGTCTGGTAGATCTTTACCATTTCAGAGGTCCCTGCAACGTCGGTAAACTTCTACCAGACTGCACAGTGCAAGAAGCCAGAAGACAACCATCTTAACCTGCCCTGTTTGCAAATTACTGAGATGGTAGTCTTGAAAGAAGTATTCTCCTTCCGCAGTTGTCGGAACTCAGTATTTCACGATCCTAAACATAAGTATGCTTACAACCTACGTAGAAGTTGAAGTAACCCCCACATTGACTGGTTGAAGGTACGTTGTTATGGTGGCATCTCTCTTCATGATCTTGCAAATGAATCTGTGAATAATGCACGTCAGTCACACAGACATGAAGCGTATGCCGTATGATAATTTTTCTCTTCAGAAAATGTCTGGACGTGGCGTATGTGCCGCATTGAGTTTGATGTTGTATTTGAAAGTGTTCTTGTCGCTTATCATAACCACAATCAAAAGTTGATGTTTGTTTTAGCAGAATTACTTGAATGGCCTCTGTGTCTCGTCACATTTGCCACCTTAAGTTGCTGTAGCTGCAGTGGTTGGAGACTGCACTTATTAAAGTGCATGTAGATTAGTGGGAGTATGTTTGCTTGTTATTTAGGATTTTGTCTTCTTGATATTTTTGGAGATTACCTCCAAAAATTTGTAAATCATTTTTTATTTTCTTCTTAAAATGCCATATTTCCGAACCATGTAATACAGTATTTTTTATTGTTGTGTTGTAGAAGCTGTGCTTAATATTCCCTATAATGATTTTCTTCCATAATGTACAACTTATCGTTAAAAATTTGTTGTCCAAAAATTTACACGGTCCTGGATTTCTGAAGCATGTATTCCACCCTCACTACTTTTCACCCCAAAATATTTATGAATTTCACAGATTTTTATAACTTTTTAGAGGTAAAATGTGTCCAGGATTTTCATAAATTTAAATGTCAAGTCCTATGCTTCTGTCTTTGATTTCTTAAGGGCAGCTACGAAGTAGAATAAACAGGTTTTTGAGGCATAGGATCATTGTTTGGGTTGGGAACATCAATTCGATTACCCCTCAGATACGTCTGACTCCTGGAGGTAAACACTGATGGAGCCTGAAGCGATCACCAGTCAAGTGTTTTTTCCTGGCCATCCATCGTGGATATTCTGTATTGGAATGCCAATTACTTCTGACGATAGGCGGAGATCAGTTTGTGGTGTGTGCACTGGATTCGATGTACGCACCTCTGCCTGGATTTTCATTTCTCCCCCAGACATAACTCGTTGTATACATTTAAGACGTTTTAGGGCTTTGCATCCTCACCCATCCCCCTTTCAGGGTGTTATCGCCCTGCTATTTGTCCCGACGGGTACATTTCTGGCTCTCATCCTTGACAGCAAGCTCTCGAGGGAACCTCCGTTGAGGTGTCTACGCTCTAAATGCGAACGGTCACTCAATGTTTTAAAAGTTAGTTCTTTTTTCTGGCCGGTCGTGGCAGACTCTGCTCCGACTTTTGTTTTAAAAGTTACTTTTTCTTTTTTCTTTCTCTCTGACCGGTCGTGGCAGACTCTGCTCCGACTTTATCGTTCATGAATCCGCTCACAGATGGACTATGGCAGCTTCGTGCATGGGTCCGCCACAAAGTCCAATAGACCCCGTTCACAACACAGGAATTCGCCTCGCCACTTTCCGCTATCGCGCATGCGCCATCACCGCTCAGGAAACTTCTCCTTTGCAGTCGAGTTGCGAGGCTGGCGACACAACGCAAGCACCCGACGTACACATCTGTGTTTTATGTTACATTCGGTGGGAGATACGAGGCCCTCACGTCAACTCCATTGGGGCTGCGCCTTCAAGACCTCCTACGATTCGGCACACACCTTCTCCGTATTATCCCTGGAATACCATGCGCCCTGCCGTTTAACAGTATATCGACCGCCGGTCCTCGTGACAGCCTGTCGTTTCTAAAATTAAACTTAGGTTTTAATGAAACCACGCTACGTTTGAGGAACATTACTCATTGAAGCCTCACTCCACGGGC